TTAGTTTGGGTATTTAACATACACCATCTTTTAGAAGTTTAGATCGAAAATCCAATATCGTTTTCTTCATTCCGGTGTCGGATGAGAGAAAAACCGGTTTTAATGAAAAAAAAAAAAAAGATATACACGTTATTTACATTTACAAAATTTTGTTTTCCTGATGGACAAAAACCATAGAATGCAATTTCAATTATGCTATATTTCTTGCAAAGAATTCGGGTTAGATGTTATCTCTGCTTCTGGCTTTCTCTAGTTGACAAATATCATACCTTCACTTCAACTAATAAAACCCTAGACAATATGATGATATTCAATTGTAATTAAAAAGATACACTTCAAAAATTGTATAAATATAAATGTGACCTATGGCATTCTCTACAAATTCAATAATTTTTAATAATTAACTTCCCGTGGGTGAGTTATTGTAATCGTCCAAAAATCGAAATTGCAATTATTTACATTTTTTCACGTTTTGAAGGTTTCTGAACATTTTGGCATACCTCAGAAAAAATGGATGTGTTTGTGTAGTATGCATGGATACAATTTTTCGTCCACGTTTTCGGGCGCACGGATCAACCGATTAATGTTGTCGCTTAAGTAGACATTCAATTTATTTGCAATAAGGTTGAGCTTGCAAATTCCTATTTCATTAATAATATAACTTAAGGGCTTATCAATATTGTTTGCGCTTTTATAATATTCAGACTTTTATAATATTTCTAGATAATAAAGATAAAATACGATTTAATAGTTGTACAATAAACAATAAAAAGGACGTTTAGCATTTTGGTTTAAAGGGTCAAATTCTTGATGTGACATATTTATATTTTGCTTATGCCATCATATTTATAACGCATTTTCAAATTTAAATTTACAATTATGTAAATACGAAAATCAATATTACATGTTAATAATAATGTAATAATATTGACACTTTTTCGAATTTCAATACATAAAAATATTAAAAATATAAAACAATTTATCTCCAAATTTAATGATTTTGTCTATAATTACCCGTCCGACACATTTCTGAGAAATCGAACTGTGTGATTTTAATAAAAAATACGATCCATTAAAATAAAATTTGTATTAGTACAAAAATATCAATGAATTTCAACATTATTCAACAGGCCTAGCAACTCATAATTTGTGACATATTTTTAACTTCCCGTAGGGGAAGTTATAGTAATCGCAAAAAAAATCGGAAATGATTTTTTTATATATCTTTACGATTCAGATTATGAATATTTTGGCAAACTTTAGAAAAAATGGATGTATGTGTGTGTGTGTGTGTGTGTATGTGTGTGTGTGCGTGTGTGTATGTGTGTTCGGATACAAATTTTCGTCGACGATTTCGGGAACACGGATGAAGCGATTTGAATAATTCGAAAAACATTCGATTCGTATTGATAAGGAGACGTGCTGATTAGTTTTTTGGCGAAGGCAGATCTAGTCGTTCCAAAGATATGGGGCAAAAAGTGCCAGAAACGGTAACTCAGGAGCGTCCGATTTGAATAATTCAAAAAACATTTTATTTGGATTAACAAGATGAAGAACTGATCAAATTTTCATGATGGCAGGTCTAGCGGTTTCGGAGATCTAGTAAAAAAAAAGTAAAAAAAATGCCATCTGGCGGTCAAAAATGATCATTAGACATATGCACATGAAATTATTAGATATTTTATAGAAATTTTAACAATGAGTATTAATTTTGTTTACATTCCTATGGGTTCCGTACGTCTCTATGCAGTTAAAGCAGTATGATTGCTTTGAAAAAAAGTTCAGAATTTCCAAAATATGTCAAAATAAAGAAAACATTTTTTTTTTCAAAAAAAAAAATTTTTTTTTTCAAGAAAAAGTAATTTTTTGTCAAATTTATAGTTTCTCAAAAATCTAATTTTTTCGATGTTTTTTCAAAATTTTTTCAAAAATGTTAATCGTTTTTAAAAAAATAAAATTTTTTGATACGGAAGTTCCAGCAATTTGCTCTAAGGCATGATGCCATGCGCCCCACTAGTTGTTATGATTAATTACGAATATTATATTGTCTAATGACAAAGCCAGAAATTCAAAAGTCAGAAAGTCAAAAATTATTACCGTTGTGATTACATTTTTTACACAAGCAAGATAGTAGTCATTATATAAGCACACTGATACAAACTTGCCTAGTTCAATTCAATCTACCCGAACTTCCGTTACGGGAAGTTGCATTAGTTTAACTTTCAATACACAATTTTAAAATCTTTTTAAATTTCTTCGATTTTTTAACTTCCTGTAGCGTAAGTTATAGTTTCAAAGGTTTCTGAATATTTTGGCATACATTAGAAAAAATGAATGCATGTATGTGTATGCTTGGATACAATTTTTCGGCCATGATTTAGGGCGCACGATTCAACCGATTTGAATGATTCAAAAAACATTCGATTCCTACCGATGAGAAGACGTGCTGATTAGTTTTAACTTCCCGAAGGAGAAGTTTATATTTTCATCAAAAAATCCGATTCGCTAACTTTATGTCTTCTGGACGTTTCAAGCCATTCTGAATCGAATGAGACCAAATTTGGAAAAAGTATGTGTGTGTGTGTGCGTGTATGTGAACAGAATTTTTGCCGTAAATCGACGTTTTCTCAAAAACGGCTGGACCGATTTCAAAAATTTAAAAGCCATTCGATGTATCTCGATGATGACTATTATTTGTCAGTTTTGTGCGACGATCGGCCAAGCCGTTTCTTTATAAATTGCAGAAAAGTAAAAAAATTTTTGTCTACGTTTTAGCCCGCAATTCTGAATCGATTTTGAAAATTCAAAAATCGTTCGAAAGATATTGATTGGGAATCTTGCTGATGAGTTTTTGGTAGAGATCGGCCGGGCCGTTTTCTTGTAATAAAGTTTTTAAAAAAAATTTCGACGATTTTTATGATTATTTTTTTGGCGGTAGATACCATAGTCTTCTAGATCATACTAAAATATTACGGCCCTACAACTCGTTTAGCTTTAAAAAATTGTCAAAGTTTGCAAAAATTAGTATGGTCTTTTAGGCATTTATCAAAATTAGAACTTTCATCGACGTTTGCTCAAAAACGCCTGATCCGATTTCAAAAATTTAAAAACCATTTGATGTATCTCGACGAGGATTATCGTTTCTTAATTTTGTGCGACGATCGGCCAAGCCGTTTCTTTGTAATTTAAAAAAAAGTGTTAAAAATTTCGTCCACATTTAAGCTCATTCTACCGAATCGATTTTAAAAAATCCAAAACTGTTCGAAAGATATTAGTTGGGAATAATACTGATTAGTTTTAAGTGAAAATCTACCGAGCCGTTTTCTTGTAATTAACTGTTGAAACAAAAATTGAAGCCGATTTTTATGAAACTTTTTTTGGCGATATATATCAATGTCTTATACAACTTATTGAAATATTACGCCCTTACGACAAAACTCACCAAATTTTAAGAAAATGAGTAGTTTTTTTGACATTTGTTAAAATTAAAATTGGACGACTTACTTGGTATAACGATAGAGTTCTTGGTTTTAATGAACATACTGAGCCTTTAAAGTCCTATGGAAACTGGTTCAATTATAATAATTGTTGATTTTTGAAAATTTGCTTTTAGAAAATACTCCGAGTCTGTTCGTTCGTGTTCAATTATGTGTAATAAATCCACTCGGAATACTTTTAATCACTCATAAGTTAATTTATTTTTTATTGTTTAAGTCGATTATTCACACATATCGGGAAGTTCATGTAACTTGCCTCAAGGCTAAATACCAAACCAACTAGTTTGGTACAGGTCCGGTCGTTTCAAAGATACGAGGCAAAAAGCGCCAAAAACGGTAATTCAGTTTTTAAGAGAACGGAGTTCCCGATTTTAATGATTCAAAAATTTACTTGTATTGACAGAAACAGAAAAATTGTATGAAGTTTTTGGTAAGGATGGTCTAGTTGATAAGGCTGGTCTAGCGGCTTCGGTGATACAGAGGAAAAAAAAGATGTTTGGCGGTCAAAAATGATCATTAAACATACGCACATCAAATTATTACATATTTGATGAATATTTTGGAAATCAGTCCTAATTTTGTTACAATTTTGTTGGGTTCCGTACCAAGATTTTTAATTTTTAAGGTTTACTTATAAGGTTCTGTAAATTTTAAAAATTTTAGATTTTTTTTTCAAAAATATACATAGTTTTATACTTCAAATATGAATTTCAAATTTACAATTCAGTTTGATAATTTATATATTTCAAATGCGTAAGAAATTGATCGTAAGAAATTTATCCTCAGATGAATTCATTCGGCACGTCTTGCTAATGTAAACTTTCTCAAGTGCTTTGAGCGATAAGATCGTCACAGTATATTTTATGAACGATAAAATATATAGGGATTATAATTATCTGGTTGAAAATGTTTAAACAATTGTTATTAATCAATGATCAATATTTAATGATCACTGTTTTTTTTCTTCGAATATTTCATACTGGTACGAGAAATTCTAGGTATTTTCCTTAAGGCAGGATGCCATACACCACTAGTTTTGTATTCATCACAAACTTGTTTATAACTTAACATCTGTTTAAAACGAATTTTGAATTTCGAATTTTTAGCGGTTATGAAAAGTAATTAATTAAAATTTTCGAACGTTTTACTATTAATATATATCAAGAGTGCATAGAAATTATTTATGTTGACGTAAATCAAATGTTTAAACGTTGTTGGGCAAATTATATCTACAATATTAATTAACATATGACACTATTCACTTATGAATGTCCAGTTCTCCATTGGATTACGCTTGATAAATAATACGTATGAAATACTAATACCAATACATATATAATATATTAAATGAATATGTAAAATTTCGATGTATCGACTTTAGAGTTGAGATTCTTGTTTTCATCCATTAAATATTTCCTATATGTGTGTTAGCGTGTGTGTGCGCGGTGCTGGACTATCTATGAAAGAAGTCAAGTCAGTCGGCTCGGCGATCAGTTTGACAAGACCCACAACAACAAGTAGGTGTGTTTGAGTTTACGAAGGTGCTATCCGATATAAAAGAGAATATAATCAAACAATTACTTCATTTTGTGCTTCACCTTGACGTTGAAGTGCCAAATATCGGTGCTGTTTCTAAAGAAAGATCACAGGTAAATATATATACTGTTATTTATTGGATCAACCAACACTAACGCGCATATTATAAACTGTGAGGAATATCTTATTAGCGAGGTCTTATTCATAATATGCGATTTGATCTATTTAAATATGTTTATAAGGTGGCACACACAATAATTGGAGCGCTGGGGTGCATTTTTCAAATACATTTTACCGGCTGGCAAAAAAATGTGGAATAGAATTTTTAGTTCATCTGATGTTTAACATATGAATCTTTAACCGTTATATTTTAATACAGTTCTCTAATTTATCAAAAATTCTAGTATTTAAAGCTAATTAATTAATTTTTTATACTTCATCTTACTCAATCAGTAATTTTCTGTATCATTTAGTTTATTTGGTAACAATCTGTTAAACAATTAATTTTCTTTGTTATTTGTCAGAAATAAACATCATGTACATAAGTCAAATTGTAACCGATAATATATTAATTAAAATAATCGTGAATATGTCAATGGTCATCAATGTTTATTTAGAACAATAAAAGACATAAACCAAAAAACTTCCCCAAAAATATTAAGGATTTATTATAAATACAAAGCCTTAGATGATGGAATATTTCCACAATGTGCCGTGTTTTTTTTTAAATATTTCACTTAGTCTGCTTACATACTATTTGTCATGATTAATTTTATTTCATAACCTTCTTATTAAATATTTTATACGTATCTTTTCCTGATGTTTTCCTATAATGTCTGCCGGCGCACTTATTAGGGATATTGCCGGGTCATGGCATGTGCTCGTGGAATTATTATATGGTAGTGTTGCGCAAAACGCGTTTTCCTTACGATTTTCCCGTTTTGCGCGCATTTCGCCATACCCTCAAGAAATCTATTATATACTAAGTTTAAGGATGTCGTGGAGAGCTCCTACAAAAAATAAACAAATTTATTCTCGACTTATTGAAAATTATATAATTTAAGTAGAATTAATTGTTTTGTTTATTCCTAGAATTGACTTCTTAATTATAATTGATTTTTAACGAAAAAAACTAGCTTGTAATGTTGCTAAACCATTTAATAAATAAATGAAATTGGGAGCTTTATTAATGCTTTTTATTTCTTAAAAATTTAAAAGCGAAAGGAGTATGGTTTTCACATCACTACGAAGAAGTAATATATTAGATTTTTAAAACTAGTAAGCTACCATTAGGTAACTAGATAGAAAGTAGTAAGTAAATTAGTGAATTAGATGGAAAGTAGTAGGCAGAATTTTTTTGCATATCTTCACGTTTTGGTGTTTCTGAACATTTTGGCATACCTCAGAAAAAATGGATGTGTGTGTGTGTTTTGTGTGTCCGCATCTTTTCATTAACGTTGCCGGGCCCAAGGATCAACCGATTTGAATGGTTCAAAAAGCATAAGATATGCAAAAATTTTCATTTTCGATTTTCCCATTACAATAACTTACCCGGAAGTCAAAAAAGGAAGAAAAACAAAGAGGATTAAGAGGGGAGCCTGCTTTAGAGGCTTTAAAAAAATCATTTTTTTTTGCAAAAATGTCTTCGTGGTGCATCGGCAAACTGCTCGTACCCGGCATGTTATGAGATATATTTTAATGAAAAATTTGAGAACGATGTTGAGATATATAACAATAAAACCTGAAATATTTGTTTCAAATAAATATTTCTTTTTTCTCTAAAAATTCCTTAAAAAGAGCGATTTTTTGAAACGTCTAAAGCAGGCTTTCCCCTTAAATAAATAAATAAATGGTATAAATAACAATAATAATAGAGATAATAATAATAACAAGAAGAAATAATAATTATAAGTAACTTGAGTGGGACATTTTTCTGTACATAACAGAAAAAATTATGATGACCCTTCTATGAGCCAGTTCAGTTCCTTCATTTTAAGATCTGTTCCCTGGGACCGATTCTGCTGCATAACAGACCAGACGGCAAGGCTATGCTATGAAGAACTTTTCATACAAACTCGTTCTGAATATTGGCAAAAGCCATGCGGTTGCTGTTCAGTCAGGCGAATTTTTCAGGTTGCCGGATAGAAATAACATAACCTAGAAACCGTACAAATGTCAAAAAAATGATGTTAGATAACAGGGTCTTTCTGACTGAGTTTCATAACATACGAGTGACGTTGCAGTTCATGTGTAAAACGTCTGAATGCATAAAAAATACATGATATTTTGACTGTATTTAGTAAGATTCAGTAGCATAATGTATGGAAGTTGGAGCGTAACATGGCGTTGCCATAACATTAGTCTGTTGTGCGGCAGAATCGGCCCCTTTAACTCTTCATTCTCTATTTTCTCATTGTTATGTGCATTTTCCAGATGTGTTTTTTTTATCTATGTGCATTCCTAGGTATTTTACAGATTCCTGATTATTCAAGTATAATGCAAGTATATAAAACACGCCTGAATGCACAGAAAATACATGACATTTTGACAGTATTTAGTATGATTCAGCAGCATAATGTATGGAAGTTGAAACGTAACATGGTGTTGCCATAACATTGGTCTGTTGTACGGCAGAATCGGTCCTTCTATTTTTTCATTCTTTATTTTTTCATCGTTATGTGCATTTTCCAAATGAGTTTTCTATATGTGTGCATTCCTAGCTATTTTACAGATTCTTGATAATTCAAGTTGAGTGGTTTATTAATGAAATGATAAGATGTTGTGATTTGTCGACATTGATTTTGATGTTTCATTTTCTAAACATAATTCTAATTCAGTCAGATAGTTTTGGAGTTTAGAATTTGCTGCCATAAATTTATCAAATAAACTTCGAGGACGATTGATAGGAATCGGACTAGAAAAAAGATTAAGAAAACTGGGGAGTGGTCGAAATATAAATCAAAGTTGGTTCGATAATGAATTGGAATGTTGGAATACCTTTTATTATAGAGAAATCAAGCACACCTGAAATTCTGTTAACATTAGTTGGCAAGTATAATCAGATAAATGTTTCACATACATATGTCTTCTAGACAACTAATATACTGTATATTAGTTGTCTAGAAGACATATGTATGTGGAACATTTATCTGATTCATTGATGTTCGTAGTTTTTTTTCTATGCCTGTAGTTAATCTAGAGCTTCGGGATGTAAGTTTGCAATTAAAACCGCCTCCTGCTATAAATTCATTGCTTATGCCGCTGAAGAATGAATTTAAATTGTCTGATAATTTTTTTTGTTATGGCGGGCAGTAAATAGATGTCAGTATTATGCTATAATATTGAAGCCCGGTGCACACGACGCCAGATTTCATGCTGGACAGTTTGTCGCCTAGCAATGACATCATAAATCATAAATTACGATCTTGCCCGACATATTTTGCGATCTTGCCAGCCATCTTTCACGTTTAAGATCTCTATTCACAACGGCGGTATCCTCATCATAATTTCTGTGTAAAATCGTTGCCTAGCAACGTCGGAATTTGATTTTACAACAACTTCTGCCCTCGAAAATTCCTGCCGTATTTTACGAATAGAGCATGTCCTATTCGGCGATAGATGAACTATTTTGTGGCCGATACCTTCAGTATCCAATAGGAAAGCTGTATTTTGTAACGTAAATATCAATGCGTACTTGATTCATGTATTTCGATTTTGGAAGCGTTCAGTTTTTATTTTGTAAATAGCTATTGTGTATATATTATAGCCATTTATACTTATTTATCTATGATTATGGCGTGAATAAATGATTAGCTTAAGAAACGCAGTTCAGTAATTTGAAAATATTCAAATTTCCGAAAAAATTTAAATATGCATTTTTTTCAAATTTTCGTAATTTTATCTGAAATATAAAAAAAATTCAAAATTTCTAAATTATTAAAAAAAATCAAATCGTTTTATTTAAAAAATTTCGAAATTTGCAAAAATACTCAAATTTAAAAAAAAAAGAAAATTGCGAACCTTTTTAATATTTTTATATCAGTATTAATTATTCGATAAAAATACTGATTTTCAAAATCAATGATTGTTATATTAAACTGAAGCATTTTATTATCTTTTAATTATTATTATTTCACTTAATCCTAATCAGATGCGATACATATATGTTTTTGTTTACAATTCTTACAATTCTCTGTTTGTACACTTATAAGCATTAGTGTATTTTAGACCTATAAAATATGAATTGTGAAATTCACAGTATATATTTATAATAATTAATTTGAAAATGCACGAAATTACTATTAATCATAAAATAAGTGAAAATCTGGTGCAAAATTCTTGCTCGCCAGAAATACTGTTACGACAGAAATCTTGTTACAAGGAATACTGGCGTCGTGTGCACCGGGCTTTAATTATAGGCAGAGAGTGGTGTTTATTGTTATTTTTTATTAGTATTGCTGCTCTTCTATGGCATTTCCCATCAGGGTAATTTGAAGATTATGTTACTTAATTTTGTATGATAAAATATGATTCTTCACCCTTCATTGAAGAGAGTTTAGGAAATTAGTAGAATATCGACTAGGTTGAGTTTTAGTAATATTTCAAGTTCGTATTTGTGTTGAATGACGCTATTTGCATTCCATTGACATATTGTAATTGCTTCTACCATTATTTAAGTTGTTTACTAATATGATTAGCATATTTAAAATAACTGAGTTTTGTTGGTACATTTGTTGGAACATAATTTTAAACTAGATTTAGAATTCAATCAATGAAGTTGATGAGACTGATTACGTGTTTTGAGAGGAATAATTATTTTTAGTAGCATTGGCATAGGATATGTTGTTAAGATTTGAGCTATTGCGCTTTGTAGAAAGTGTTTTTCACTTGCTTTTTACTGGGTAATGTGTTAAGAGTAATTCGGATATGTATAAACCGGATTTAGATTTGTTTTAGTTGTAAACTAACATCTTGTTTATACTTTTGAGCGTATAAATTTTGGTATACGAGACAACATTTGTAACTTGAGACATGGTCTAGATCAGGGTTTCTTAAAGTGGGGGTCGCACAGATATGATACTTTTCACCAGAATTAAACACTGTGTTTTCTAAT